AAGATATCCCAATAATACTTTCTTCCTTGCGAACGTCTGCCCAGAACTGCTGGGGTCCTTGAGGGTATGAAATCACCACTACAGGATCATGAACCTGCAATTCTGTCGAATCCAAAAATTTCAAACACTTAAGAGAGCGAAGGAAGAAAAATGAACTATAAACAAGGGATGTAAAAAAAAAATAGAAACCTTTTTGCCATCAATAACTGCTCCTTCATAAAGAAAGGCGACTGCTCGGGAATGATTCGGGCAAAATACTATTCGCCTCACCTTAAATAAACATATATTTGTTGAACATCAATAAAGACTTTAAAAGGCCAAACTCACTTCTCCTGATTTCAAATACTTAGAGAAAAACGTTTCAACATCAATGCCCGGCCTGAAACATTATGGACATCAAAGGCAGTCGATGAAGCTTCCTAGAATGAAAAGAACAAACTTTGTTAGATATTTCTCGACATCCTCCATATCTGGTTGTCCGGCAGGCATTTGTGAAAGTATGATGAAAGACATCACAAATGATAAACCACCGATTATAAGGACATAGATGCGAAGTTTCTTCACTGCAAACTTTGAAAATAAGGATAGTAGTCAATCTAAAATAATCGTTTGAAGGAATTTTTGGACGTCTTATCAGTGGGAACAGTGAGAAAACTAAGATCAACAATGAATATACTGCATATCTAAGATACCTATCCAACTATAGAAAGTTCGAATTGAAGCTGAAAGTGCGACAAAAAACACTCGTTATACCTCGCCGTTTAAAAGTACGTATAGAAATTGCCTGCATTCTCCGTGATCTACAAAATCTTACGCAAAGCGGGGTCCACCTTTGGTTTTTCTGGATTCTGATCGTTCGGCGGCGATTCTTCAGAACGCTCATCTTTGTTCGGCTCATTGTCAGGCGAATGTCGCTCAGAATCCGTCGTACTCGTTCCTCGCCTCTGATCCAACATACTACTGCAAATGATCACTATGAGAACAAGATTCAACAACAAACTGAATTAAATAGAACAAATTCTCTTGAACATAGATGGAGTCATACCTCACGAGAAAACACCTGTAAGAGCATGTTGCACTCATTGTGATCCACTCAAAGAAAGTATCACGGAGAACAAGAGACACCTAGTTCCATAGAGAAGATGAAGACGTCAAAACGCTAGCCGAATGAAATTCTCATATCTGCCTCACGGGATTGGTTATCACAAAAGAAACTATAGGATGTTTAAACCTCTAAGAATGAGTGTTACGCAAGTTATTGTACCTCAGGTGGGAGTTTAACCAAAGTTCTACCCACACCAGGGGAGAGTGCTACCTACCACCAAGCATCTAAGCCACTGCTTTGGCACCACTCTTCCCTCAACAGAAACTGTCGAAGCTGTCAGCGACCAACACTTACTGGGTTTGATCTCGTAAGCACATATCGGTATTAAGCCAACTTAAGCCCTAGCCTATAAAAATAACTCATAGAAATCCTCGTCGCTAAAAAGCAGTAAGAACAAAGAATTCGTATATATTTTGAAGGAAGCAATCCCAATCCCGCGCTCATGGCTCACCAGGCCTTCGATCCCTCCAAGACAGGCATACGACAGGATGTGAAAGAATTCTTGCCTTTTTGATTATTTCTCTATGATTTCTTGCAATGAAATTAAATGATTTTTGGTAACGTTCAGTTGCGTATTTTCTCGCAAAAATTCAGGTATACAACTTGCCTATACTTTCTCTGAGATGGGGTTGTTTTGCGGACAAATTTGCATAGTACTCATATACGAAAGGCGAATAGGGGAAAATGCTAGTGAGGAGGTGCGCAGATTAAGGGGGCTTCCTGTGAACGGCCCAAGAGCGACTGATCCTCCAGACTGTTCTCTCCAGCTCTGATCTACGTAAACCACTTCCTAGTTGCCCTTTATGCAAGCGTATTCTCGTTCCAAGTTCTATGACTCTTGCGTGCCGCTTCACTAGCGTATTTCCCCTACGCGCGTTCGTGCATGAGCAGCAAGCAAATTTATTCCCACGACAGCTCATTCTTAAAACAAGTACAGACAAGTTGTATATCAAGATGTAAAAAAAGGATAAAGCCTCGGCGTTGATCAATCCCTGAGGGATGCGCCATGCATTCGACTTCAATTTTTGACTTCGTTTGAAGTGATTGAATGCACATCTGGCCTTTACAATGACTCACGGTGGCCTCCTGCTGAACCGAGTCAGTGCTGCTTATCCTCCCAGACAAGCCTGAGACCAGTCTGGTACCAATTTACCGACCCCGGAAAGATAGGATGGCTTGGTGAGCCATGAGCGCGAGATCGAACCACAGACCTCGTGTGCGACGCAGGGCACCTCTAACCACTGCGCCACATACGCTCTTTATAAAGATGTCTGCAAGAAAATACGCAATTGAACGATACCATTCATGCAATTTGATTGCAAAGATCGTATTGGAAAACCTAAACAGCACGCACTTTTTACAAAACCTCACAGGTACCAAACCTCCCTAGGTGTATAGTAATATTGACTTGATACGTCGGTAGCCCTCCGCAAGTCATCGTAAAGACCGAATATGCCTAATTCACCTCAAACAAAACTAAAAAATCAAGGTGAATGCACGGTGCATTCCTCAGGCACTGACAAACGCTGACAACTTTATCTTTCATCCTTTATAATGTACTTGATAATCATTATTTGCCACGCATGTCAGTGGTCTGTCAAGGAGGGTTGACTTATAGAGCCCAAGCGAGGTTAAGTCAGCCCTCCTTGACAGACCACTGAATGCGTGGCTCAAGAAATGATTATCAGGCATACTGAATCTTCGAACTGTGGTCTTAAGAAAACAATCGAGTCGAAAGATATGATATTTTGAATATACCAGCCTTTAAAAATGTACTTTGTAAATGAAAATAATGAGTGGCAATATGGGACAAATAGAAGCACCAACAATTAAAATAGAATAATGTGAGCATCAACGTGAAACGCTTAACGTACCATAACTCCATTCGTCATTCGCTGTAGTCTCGTAAGAAACCGGACAGTAGAACGTTCGCAACTGAGCAGATCCATTGATAAAAACAGTCGACTGCCTCAACCCACAGAAAAAGCGACGAGCGACGAAACCTCGTGAGGCCACACCGGTTAACGACGTCAGCATTGCTCTGAAGAACACTGAGATAAGGAATCGAAGAATACACAACCAAAAAATCCTGACGAAAACATCAACACTTTCAATCACGATTTTGAAACCTCGCATGGATCAATAGATCCTGAAAGCATGTCTTAAGTCTTTCATGAGGTCTATTATGGCACCTATAGAATAGATGTAGCCTTTCAGTCTCATCAGTAGCACAATGGCGTCCTTTAGTTTGGTTAATTCCTCGGGAATATACCGCCTATATAGCGGAATCGACGCCGAACTATCTACACTCACTGTACGGTGAAATGATCACTGTGGTGTTCCTTCAGAGTGATTGATTATCAATTGTCGTTTGCTGGCTGACGGCTTTTACGCCAGAAGTATATCCACTGTATAGCTGTCAGGATGTAGTCAATTTAAGCACGGTCTTAAAATAGTCGATTGAAAGCGTGTGTATAGCTATATATGTACGCATACGTATACATACATATGTGATGTGCATACACATATATCTATATATGTATATATTATATATATGTAATGGTATAAAAGCCGCAAGCCAAGCAAACAACCATCGACAGTCAATCACTCTGGGAGAACTTCAAAGTGACCTTTTCATCATACGTTAAGTGTAAATAGTTTCGGCGTCGATTCCTCTATATAGGAGGTATGACCCTTTACAAAGAACTGACTGAACCGAAGGGCACCGCGCTACTGATGAAGCTGAAAGACCGAAACACGTGTCTAGCACTTTTTGAATGCCATAAAAGACCTCGTGAAAGGCTTAAAATATGCTGTCAGGATGTACTGACGATGAAAGAAAAAAGAAGACGAGACCATCGACACTCAGGACTTGACGCTTCGGCGGACCCACGCTGGAAGACAAGACCAGAGGGGTCCGCGGAAGTGGACATGTTAATATTTGGCGGTAATAGTGACCTTTCCACCTAACTTTCTTGCTAGATCTGTTACACGTCACAAGTGCTATCGTCAGTCGTTTGAAGGCAAAGACATAGGCTTCTCATTTATTATACTACTGCTCCACAAACTTCCAAAGAACAGAGCCCCTGGCGTTGAGCAGCTCCTTGAGGGACACGCCATACGTTCGATTTCAAGCATTGTTAGAGCTGATAGATACATTGATAGAATACACATCTGGCGTTCACAATAACTCGTCGTAGGCTACCGGTATCAGATCAGTGGTGCTGTCCTCCTAGACGACCCTAGTAGCAATTCACCAATACCGGAGAGCTCGAAGGTTACGAAGTCTCGGGTGCGGGATCGAACGCATCGACCATTGAATGTTGGATCAGCATCTCTAATCACTGCGCCACAAGCGAATATTATCTCGTAATGAGTTAAAAGTGAGGAGGAACAGCAAAAAAACAAAAATTTTACGTAAACAGGAATCCTAACTCTTCCTAGGCATACTCACACGCCTGAATGGTTTATTAACCATTAAAGTTACGATAAAACTACAAATTGAAAAGGAAGAAGCTTTCCCTTTGATGAGGGAAAAAGAAAGAAAGAGAAAAAAAGGAAAGAAAAAAGAATAAAAAAAGATTAAAAGACGATGCCCTAGAGGGCCTCCTGTTGGCAGAGGCATCTCTGCCCGGTCGAAATAAGGCGAAGCAATTGGCAGTGGGAGCACTGCTTGCTGATTAGAGCGCGTAATCTTTCCGAAAGTTTCGAAAATGCCATTGAATTTTTATCGTTTTATATTTACAGATTTTTTAGAATCCATTCATAGAAGGTTTTAAGACAGGTGGCTGGAGCATCGGGCGAAGAGTCAAGTTGAACAAGTCGCTTGCCTGATTTTCTCTTCTCGCAGTGATTACGTTAAGTTCTAAAAGTGCTTATGAACAGTAGGGGAATTTGCACGAGTTCGGATAACGGGCGGAATTCGAACCCGCATCTCACCCTTTCCTGGGCTGCGTAGTAACCATTGCACTACCCGCGCTCATAGTGTCATCACTTTTTCGTCGACACAATCGTATCGATCTGTCAGCGACCACTACCGTCAATTTTAACACATAGTAGATTTTATTCCTTGATAGAGAAAAATAACTAAGCTCGGATTACTTCACGACAATCGTCAGATTTTATTAGTGCTAAAAACTTGATTCGGTTCTCTTCGGTTAAGAGGAAGCAAATGAAAAAACGACGTCATTCGCTGGAGAAGAAGTGTTCATAGGAGTGTTAGTGATCATTCGAAAGCTTAGATTCTTAGCTACAGTCCCCACATAGCCGGTTTCTCAAAGCACCTTTTATAACGCTGTGAAATCCACATAGAAATATGTCTCAGATGCGCATATTTCTCGCCGGACAGAGCTCTTTCTTTGGACTACTAGCAGTCATTTTTGAGCCACGCATGTTAGTGGTCTGTCAAGGAGGGCTGACTTATAGAGTCCGATACACGTGATTCGATCTTGCGATCTCGTCAGTCGGGCAGTTATAAGTCAGCCCTCTTTGACAGATCACTGACATGCGTGGCTCAAAAATGATTGCCAGGCATATTGAAATTTGTGCTGTGGTTTTAAGAAAACACTCGAAACGAAGGATGTGGTACTAGCAGTCATTCGTAGGTTATCGAATGATTACTAACGGTCCACAAAGAGAGCTCTGTCCGGCGAGAAATATGCGCGCGTGAAGCCAAGAAATCTGGTCCTGTAGCAAGTCAAGTAGAGGCTTTTTCAAAAACCAGCGACGTGAGGCTGTAGTCTGAAGTCTAAGCTTTCCAATGCTTACTAACATGCCTACGAAAAGTTCCGCTCCAGCGAGTGAGATCGATTTTTCATTTGTTCCCTTATAAGCTTCACTGTAATGCAGTGGTGCGCTTGGAAGTACTTATGATTCTTGCGAAAGAGGGATAGGAGAGCAGGAGTATGAGTGATGGAGGGATTAGTACACGATCTCGTGGAGAGGCTGAGGGAGGGCTTCAACTTTCCCCCGAGTCCCCATGTTTTGCATATCACTCAACATTCTTCGATATATAGCTATGACATCATAACACTGCTAAGAAAAGCACTGAACTGAAAAGAATCCTCAAAAATGTAGACTAATCTACAACTTGGATACCTGAATACTGGGGGGCATGGAGGACACATCTTCACTGAAGTCGCTGTCCCTACAACACGAAAACCGTTCTGGTTTAGCTGCTTTGTTCTCGAGATGAGATCAGCCGGGGCTTCCTCAAGTCGTCCACATTGGAGCAGTAGCCGGCCTTTGTGGATCAGAGGGAAAATAGCACCTTGCGACTAGTAGATTGGTGGTTATTCCTGTCGGTCATTCCTAGTACAGTTTGCTCTTAGCTGAGCTTTCCGAGCGAAAACGACGGGCTTCTTCTCAGCTTGTGTGGCTCTGCTGGGAGGTTGAGCTCCGCTGTATTTCGCACTCCACGTCGAGGAACACCTCATTGTCATGATGAGGCTGTAAACCTTCTGAGAGAATACTTTACAACTACTTTGATTGGACTAGCTTCCCTTCAGCTTCTGCATTACCAGTTAGTAATAGTTCTTTTGTGATTGAGCTAATACCACGAGATTAGCATAAGATTGAAAACTGCATGAATAGAATTAGAGTTTTGGAAATTAGAATCAAATTCAGAAAGAGTTTCCATATCAACGCTATGGTATTAGCTAAATCATTAAAGACAAATTTTTGAGATACTACTCAATCATAACTTCTTAGCTGATTGAGTCACTGTCATCAGGCTGTTATAAGACAGATCCATTCGGGTAAGGTTCAAACACGTTTCGTCCTTGTCAGAGCCGTTTAACCCAAGTCAATGCTACACTATCCTCTGTCCTTGTTGTGATCTTCGCCTTTGTTTCGTTCGATTCCGATCTTCCGTGGAGGAGCTTACATCAAATGAGAAGCTCACTCGGCACTACTCCTTTTATATGGGACGGTTGTTTATGATGCTGATTGTCCGCTAATAATACTTGTTCATTACGGACTGGGCAATACATCCTGCCTAGTTCCGCATGAATACGACTAGAACGACGACGAAGGTCATAAAGAGGACGAACGACTGTCAAGCACTGGCCTGGATCAGCTGGTTCCGAGAAAGACAAACTCGTCAACATGTTAGTCGTTTGTCAATGACTTTCTGCCACTGGTTCAATCAACAAAGAAGATATATTTGATTAGCAAGTCCGCAGCTAAAAGAAAGTTGGATATCAATTTTCTGCAGTTACTTTCGAACTTGACGAAAAATTGAAAAATCAATTACAATGCAGTAAAGATCCTGAAAAAAGAATGATTTTTGCACAAGAGTTTTGCTTTGTTTAGATATTACTATGAGACGTTCCACATAGAGATCTTTGAGATAAACAAAAATATACATATCACATAAGACTATCCTAAGGTGAAAAATTGACAATAAGATGTACATGATCTGACTTGATGTCGCCTTATTTGAGCAGAAAGCTTAGTGAAGAGTCAAAAACATTCACTAAGTTACAAGAATTCTTTACTTCACCGCTTTAGTATCAGTCTTTCGATGTTATAACTGCATTTCCAAAAATGTTGGCTATATGACTAGTGAGTACTGATTCAACACCGTCTTCACTTTTTCATTTTCATTTTTCACTTTTATCCTTTGAAGATTTTATTACCACGTATAATGAGGTAGTTAAAAAACAAGTAGGTTTACAAAAATATAAACAATGTCTTGAAAACCGTAAACCCGGTAATATGTTTTTTTTTTATACAAGCTTCAAGCTTTGTACAATAGTTGCTGATTCGCCGTTTCATATAGTTTTGTGGAGTTTTATAGTTGTAATTTGTAAAGTATACCTAGCCTTCATAACGTTTACATCCTGTAATTATAGTGTAAGTTTAGCACTAGAAACCTGATTGGTCTCATTTGGCGCACTGGTTAGAAGTACTCTGCGACATCACGCATGGTCGATGGTACGATTCTGCGAACATGGTTTACCAAGTTCCCCATTTCTCTGAGGTTTACGATTTGGTGCAGGCTTAACGGGGAGGATAATAACACTGATCTGATATTGATGATCAGCCTAAATTCTTTCTATCTTGACTGCCACTTGCAGCGTATGATGTTATACTTATACCCAATATGTGGAGTACTGTGTAAAAACGTTTGCGTCAGCCGAGATTCGAATCCAGATCTCACTCTTTACGGGAGCGTATGCTAACCAATGCACTACCGACGCTCGTTTCTTGCACAGCACTCTTATTTACGCTACAACGCGTTGTCTGCCAACAGCCAACCGTCGACGGTCTGGCGGGGCAGCCGCTATCGGCATTGAAAGAAAGAGTGAGATCTGGGTTTGAATACCGGCTGACGCAAACGTTTTTGCACAGTACTCCACATACTGATCTGATACATCGGCAGGTCACTGCAAGTCATTGCCAAAGCCAGATAAGCATTCAGTTACTCCAGACGTTGCTTGATAGTGTTGGATGCTTTTCGCTATCTCAGGAAATGATTAGCCCCGAAAACTTCATTCTTTATCCTGCATAGCTAATTAAGGATTTGAACGTATCTTAAGTGTTTTGAGAACTGCCATAAGAAGAAAGAGACATGAAGAATGTCGTCATTAGAAATTTTTTTATTCCAGAAAATTCGCCTATCTCAAATTTTTATGCATTTGCGAGATTAAGTGAAGTGGTCCAAATATCATTTTTGACCATATTTCATTTGGCTAGTTTCTTCTTTCATTGCTTCCACACTTGACTTACACTCATTCCATCCCATCCAACAGTTGGCTGGTCTTTCATTGCACGCTAATGGAGTGCTATTTTCATGTGTACCGCAGTATTTATTTATTGGACAGTGACCAGGAAACATACAAGAACTGGTTTCTTGAGAACATCGTTCTTCGTTCGTATTGCAAAGTGGTCATGAACAAGAATATTTGTATTCTGTTCTAAACGTTGAGCCAATTGATTAGCGGGTTCCTCGAAATGGCGCAAAGGCAGGGAAATGCCCAAACTATGCTCGATCTCCATAGAGGTATATATTGCGAGCGTATTAACAGTGTAGAGCATCGGACCTGCACCAAGGCACTGCATATGGGGCTATAGAAGCTGAGATAAGTACCCTGTCTTAAGCTGTCACTAAGACTGAAGTAAGTTTCAACACATTCCTAAACTCTCCTGGCTAACTTAGAGTATTTCAATGCTTTCTAAAGTTCAATTCATCTAAGAGCCAAGTAAATTTAGAGAGATTTTTAGCGATCAATTTCACAATGCAAAGTTTTTTGCTGCACTTTTGTCATTAGCTTATACAAGACAAATGTTGCGCAAGACTTCGATCAAGAACTGTTATCATGTACATTCAATAATTTCGGAGCGTAGGCTGTTACTGGTAAAGAGAATACTCAAAAAAAGTCAAGACGATGTCTCTATCGCTTTCGAAACTGAAGACGAGCACCTAAAATAACCAGTTTGCTCCAATAGGATTATTGAGGGAACTTGTTTATGTCAAACTTGATTTTGATTTATATTTATGCTCGACGTGGCCTTAATGCCCTATGAAAACTGCCGGTTGTGAGGTAAGATTGACCAAGATTCTATTCTTGACAAGTAAATTATCCTTTCATTATTATTTGAGCCAACATGTCATGTGGTCTGGTAAAGGCACTTGTACAGCCCGAGACACGTGTTTCGTCCTTACAGACTTATCAGCCGGGCAGAACCCGTCGTCTGTCGATCTTTTCATAGTCAGTTCTCTCGGGAGCGTCATACCCCTTATATATAGTTATCGACAGACCTACGCTTTACACTCTATGTCAGGTGAAACATTCACCTAACACAGAGCGTTTTCGCACTCGATTGCTAGCTGGCTGGTATTTTATCATATTATACCTTTCCTTCGAGTGCTTTATTAAGACCACATGACATGACACGTGTCTCGGGCTGTACAAGAGCCTTTACCAGACCACATGACATGTTGACTCAAATAATAATGAAAGGATCTATTGAAATTTGAGCGTGGTCTTAATAAAGCACTCGAAGGAAAAGTAAATTATCTCCAAACGATGAGTGAATTGTCAAAGTATTATGAAAATAAAGATTTGAATGACGGAACGAAATGTTCTAGAAGTTTTTTAGTTCTCAAATTTATATATCCATGCTGTGTGCTTCGCATGTGTGGCGAAAGACTAGCATCATCTAACAGCATGCACAGTCTAATTTCTGACCACTAGAGAATTGCTATTTCATTTCCAATCAGTATGATGAACATGGTCATGGTATGAAACGGATACTTGAGGAAACACCAGAATTCTTTTAACGTTGCAGGACACTCCCGATTGCTGGCAATACTAGGTATGGAGCCTAATAACACATACTAGAAATACTGGAATACTGAAAAATACTGAAAATATCTGAAGTAATGAGGTAATGTTCTTTCTATAATCACCCTAGTTTTGTGGTTATCTCATGTCCACCATTATCAAAAAAAGAAGTGTTTATTTTGAAAAACAGTACTGCCCAATACTCAGCATGAAATTAGACATCGTCTTATGCCGCCAAACAATTGTGACTGCTGAGAATTACCTATCAAATTGCTTCTGACGAAAGGGTAGCATTGAGTACCTCCGGTGACTTTGCTTTGAGTAGAAAAGCGTATTCATAGGTGAGTTGTTAGGTTTTGGTGTAGTAGAAATTTGACTTATTTGTCGGTGACCGCTCTGAATCCCGCTCTCATGCACTGCTGTCCCACGTGACCACAAATTTTTGGAAACATTCAGGTCGGTATACGCTACGACCACGCACAATTATTGGGCCATATCTGTATATGCATGCTATGCCACGTATGTGATCATCATTTCGGTTCGCCATAAACATGAAGCTTATCCTCTGAATAGAAAATGCGATGTACATGCTCGAAAGTACTCTAAATAAATATGTATGCACAATTAAGTGGGGCTTGTACAGAGCAGTGGTCACAGATGCCGTGCTGTATATCCGCGCTCATTGGCTTAATCCCGCGTTCCAAGCTAAGCGACCTCTCCTCTCTCCATGCTCGACAATTTGGTACATTTCTTTGGGAAGGTAATCCTATGTATCTGAGTAAGCTATCACAGGTCGTCTTAAAGGCCAGATATGCATTTAGTCATCTTTAAGGAAGCTTAATGAAGTGGCGTGCATGACACATCTCTCAGAGATTGATCAGCGATGAGAGCTTTAGTATTTATCCTTTGATGGCAACTTTTTTGAGCAATCGAGACTCCTTCACTACAGTGATTTCGGTGGACGGCGTTGCTGAGCGTTGTCATGGCGAACAAAGCGCAGCGAATTATACGGCCTTATGTTATTCAACTGCAGCTTTTATCAACATGGTGAGATTTCTTCGACTTGACTTTAAAAGATGCATATATTATTAAATATAGATTTTTTTCTGAGGTTAATTAGGACTGAAAACAGAAATGGGTACGTATCTATTCTATAACCATAACTGATTTAGATTGATCACAATTCAGTAGAGCTAAATATTATTCATCAGTAGCATAATATTGTTATCATGGAGTTATCTTCCAACTAAGTAGAATTGCAATGATGTAGATAACTTATTTTCATTCGCCTGATCATCACAAAATTATGCTACAATCCACTGTGCTTCAGTTACTGCCAGGAGAGATGTTTCAGTAGATAACTTTTCACACCTCGATTGACTTATATATAGACTTACTTCATGCTTTGATTTAGTGTATACTAGGTTCTCATGGTTTTAACGATAATATGAGTTATAAACAAAGTATGTCTATTACAACGGAGTTTTTTGCCACACGCTTTGTTGGGATCGATAACTTTTTCACTGATGCTGTAACCAGCGTGGTCAAGGAATAGCTATTTTTTTTTAACAAGGGTGAGGATTCTCTCATAGTTTAGTATCAATAGAAACTATATAGCGATTTCTTGCATGCTATACAGGCCGAGTGAGGCAGAGATTCTAACTCTTGCTGAAAGTACAAAGATATCGCTAATTTGACGAATAATCAAAACTATTTTTTGAGATTTCACGATTTTGGTATATTTCCTTCAGAAACAATGGCTGAAATTTCGGTCATTGAGTGCGATCATTACTAATAGGTAATAAAAACACCGGTGACCTTTTCCCATTTCAAAATTTGAACAACATTTTTTTTTGATAGGTGAGCTTTTAGACTGGTTTTTAGTTACACTTCCAATGAAAGTGAGAAGTGTTTAGCATAATAATTTCTCTTCTTTCCAGATGAAAAAAACATCAAGCACAATTTTCACTTCCGCAATTCTTCCACTTATTTGGAGAATAGGTTGAAATAAAAATAAAGTATTTTGCTACTTTTTTGATGAGCATAGACAAACTTGCATAAAGATTAATTCAGCATAGAAATTGCTGCCGTTTCAGCGGCTTTGTCTCCCTTTTGAGAATAAGAGAGTCAAACTGTCACGCAATCTGCTCAGACAAGCACTTTCTTAACCTAGGCAGATATGTTTTTAACCCATGAACGTTTGAAAAAAAAACAAGAGCCGAGATGAAATTTTTCCCTCAATGAATTTAATAGCAACACTTCCGTAACCATGCCAAATTTATGGAAAAAGTGGAATATTACACCTACTCATATCTGCACTCCGCATGAATCAAATGCGCTCTTACCTCTCTTCTTCTGTTTTCAAGTCTGTGAGCCAGCTCTTCTCTGTGAGATTCTCAGCATTTCTTGAATCTATTTCTCCACAATCATTTATGCGCATCTGCAACGAGTTTTCTATGAAATCTTTTGTAAGAATTTTGAGAGAAAAGAGCTGATATTCAAGCACACTCGTTATCTTAGTGAGAATATTTCTAAATGCCTCGCTTGCATTGAAACGAGGTGCGAAATATTCGCATTTTTTCATGAAGTTCGGGACGATGTTCTAGGCAGTGACGGAGAAAATACATCGCTCGTCTAGCTAGGACCATCTCTCGTACCTCTACTTTCGACAATTTATGGAGACCCTCGCAAAAAAAAAACACTAATAATCTAATAAACTGTTAACATATTTTAAGCCTTGTATAAAGTCTGGTATGACTCTTATCCAGTACTACTAGAATGGCCTGTTTAGTCTATGCAAGCTTATCACCAGAGCACTGCCTTTCGGTTCAGCCGATTCCTTGACTTGATCTCTTGACAATTTTTCGTCTCAGTGACAGAACTTATTTTTGCAGTCGGAAGTATTTCATCAA